GATGAATCGAATGTATTTTTATTTAAATCAATCAGATTAAAAAGTAAAAAAAAAAAAAATAATAGTCTTAAGAACTGCGTCTACTGCTTTCAAACAGTTTAGTAAACTCCAATTTTTATTTATTTTTTTATTTTTTATTTTATTTATTTATTTTTAACGTTAGCTGCTATTCACATAACATTTCATTTAAGAGATCACACAGTTAATTATGCTTTATAATACCGGTTGCTACTGATTAAAATGCGTCACATTAATATTTTTATACTAATTTTCCCATATAATTGGAAATAGGAGTAACGTAATAGCATATATGACGGTATCTATGTGATTACATACAGAAGTTTTTTAACGTAAATTTACCATCACGAAAGACAAAGATATACACTAGTGTGTAAAACTGATTTTGACCATAATTCCGCAAAATATCAACTATAAGAAACACTATTCATACTACGGAGGCATAATAATATACTCAAAGGATGAGGAGAGCATAGTAACGAAAAAAAAAGAGTATGACGCTTACAGTATGGATCAAATACAAAAACGTTTTATTGATAGAATAGGTGTTGGTACAACATACTGTCTTACCACTGGAGAGAACAAAACACCAAAGAATCTGAGTAATGGTCTCTCTTAACTACTAAGGTTGCGTTACACCGTCTGCACATATTGCACATACAGTTGTGCAGCCATATTGCACATACAGTTATATTCGACACCAGATTATCTAAAAAGTTCTTAGGGTAGAGTCCGCGTCACCAGGCGTCTTTCTGAAGTATCCAACACATGTTCGAGAGCATTTAAATCAGGGAAACACGCAGGCCAGTCCATTCTGTGTATATCTTTACTTTCCTCAACAGCATGAATCCTGTGTGGCCGCGTTTTGTCATCCATAAAAACAAAGTCGGTACCAATGGCACTCCAGAAAAGACGCATGAGGGAGAGGATAACTTCATCACACTATAACGATTTCCGGTAAGTGAACGTCTGACGAAAATGTGCAGCTGCGTCGGCAAATCATCATAACGCTTCCCCGTACAAGGACGTCAGGACCACCTTTAGCGGTCTCTTTCCCTGATGTTAGGGGGTTGGAAACGTGTCCTTACTAATCTACATATCGAAAGGCACCTATTATTGTTTTTCAGCTTGAAACGACTATCATTGGCCAAAGAGAATGTGACTCCATTGATGATGTGTCCAGTCTTTGGTGTTGTCTCTACACCACTGTAAACTATGCCACTGATGGGCAGCTGTCAATGGTATGCATTGCACAGGTTTGGTTGGTGTACTTAATTATGAAAAAGTTCTCGAGGGTTACACGCCTAAGGAAACGGATGCTTTCGTGAAGGATTTTCTGAGGGAAACTGGCTCTTATACACGTTACAGATAGGGAAAACCACGAAAACGCCTATGTAGGTAGCCCGTTCGCCGAGATTAGGACCCCTGAACCGAAACTACCAGTGCAGTGTTCAGGACGGCGGCCGAATAGACCACCTTTATGAAGTTGTCTAGCCACAGTAAACCGGGACACCTGTCATCTGGTTGAAGTGCGCAGCTGCTGAGCAATGCTGCCTGCTGTCAGGCTTCGATCTCTTTTCAGCTGGGGGGGGGCGAAATAACGGTTATCAGTCACTATTGTTTTCACTGGCCGGCCACCGTTATCATATTTTACAGCTGTACTTTTCGTTTGGAAGGCTTTCCAAGCTTGTGAAACCACACTTTTATCAATTCCAAACTGTTGCGCGTCAGACTATGTCCGCCTCAAGTTTGCCAATTAGTCTATCACGTGTTAAGGCGCCCTGATATTATTGTAGCCATATTGCACATACAGTTATATGGTATTTTCTCACTAATTTCCTCATGTTCGTGGTGTAGCGGTAGTATATTCCAGGGAAAAATAGAAGGGCTAGGTCATTTCTTTGTTCGACTCCTCGCCGACGCGAGTCTCATGGAGGGGGTGAACTGGAAGTAATCTGACGTGTCTGAGTTGCACCTGCTCTGATTTCGTGCGTTTAAAACTGTAGTTTCATTCAGTTGCGAGACGATTTTTTGGAGGTCGCATATCCCAAATTAATTTTAATCATACATATTTGTTTTCTAATAATGCAAATATGTAATAATTGTGTTGTATATATATACATATATATATAGTTTTATTCAGTTTACCTTTTAAATTCTATATTTAAAGTATCCTTTATGTAATATGGCTTCTTGTGCTGCAGCAACGTGCCGTAACACTTGTATAGAAATACGAAAGGAAAGATATTGTATTCCATGCTTTCCCAAAGGACAATTTGCTTTTGTTGAAAGAATGGATACATAAATGTCAAAGACAGGATTCTATTAATGTGAAAAACGCAAAAATTTGCGGCGAACATTTTCTGTGCAGTGATTATGAAGATGATATCGCTTGCTTGCATTGCCGCAAAAGAAACTGTTGAAATGCAATACTGTGCCGAAAGTAAATTTATCGTGTGCAGTAAACGAAATAACATCGAGAAATCGGAGACATTTGAAAAGAAAACTAATGCAGAGTGCTTTTGAAAGACTACACGAATTAAGCCCAAATAAAATTTATTTTGAGGCCGAGAACGAAATTGAAGCTGACAATAATAAATCAAATGTGAATGATTTTGAAATAAAATTCACAAGTGACAATGCCCTAAGTGACAATAACCCTGAATGACCTAAGTGTAAAGATAAACAAGAATGTATTGATAATTTGAAGAACAAAATAATATCCTTGGAAAATTGTAATAAAATTTTGAAAAATAGAGAAAAGAAAAATTTTATAGAATGTTTGCTCAGCGACAAAGAAGGTGGACATCTAGAAAGAAATTTGTAACGGACATTCAGAAATTAAAATCCCAAACAGCGTAATTTAGGAAAAAAAACACAGATCGGGGAATTTGGAAAAACGTCTAAAGCATATTTTTACACAGACGCAGATTGACGCATTGCTAGAAAAGAAGGAAAAAATCAGGTGGACTAGTGAAAATACTATTTCACATTGCAATGTCATAAGAGCTCTGTAAAATACGTTTCTTAAATAGAAATGCATTTGTTTTTTCCCAAAGAAAAGCAACCCAAAAGGCAAAAAAGTGGATTGGTTCGAATGTGGTAGCCAATAAATAATATTTCAACAACTTGTAGTCGCATTGTGACTGTACAAGTAAGCATATATAATATGTTTTGATTTGAAATATTTCTAGATGACATTTTAGAAGTTAATAGCGTAAACCATATTTCAAATGAGAACTAATTTTGTTAAATTATTGTTAAAGTTATTTTTATTGTATCCTGTGTTATTATTGATTCGATTTCGTGCTAGCTTAGCAATCTAGATAAAATATAATAATATAGCATTAAAGTAATTGGCATAAGAAAACCTGCCTCCTTAACCACCACTTTTGAAAAATTAAGTAATTTTTTTAGGTACTGTGAGTAAAGTTGTTTTGTCTCAATTAGGATAACAATCGTTCTTGCATTTATTTAAATGTAATATTGAAGTTAAGTTACAAAATTATTTAAAAAAATATATGTTATTATATTGAATCGAGAGCAAAATATGTCAATGTAAAATTTACAATTAGGCTGAAACTCAAACTTAGATTAGCAGAAATTTTGAAAACTATGCCAATTTAAGGTTGTTTCTTGATTAATTTTAAATAGCTGTTATAGTTATCTTAGAAGCAGTAGTACAGTTCTCTTAGTTAACATGCAGATAAAAGAAATGATTAGAAATAAACAGGCATTTAAAGGAAAAAAAAATCACTGCAAATTTAAAAACAAAGGGAACTTTATGATAAGAGTAGCGCATTTTATCTGTTATTTTAAAATTGAGTAAGTACTATTAATTTTTTTAATGTTAAGTGTAAAATGCATGCTGCAGTAATATTGTCTCTTCTAAATTATAGCTTTCTTTCACACACAGCTCATTTTAAACGCTGGTTCTTCAGATTTAAAACGCTAATTTCTATGTTGTCAATTGCATCTCCGCGCTCAGTGTCATCATGCGACATACATACTATTTCAGTGTCATCATGGCTACGTCATCACTCCCCACCGCCTGTTTCAGGGGGAAAAGCTTTATGAACTAGCCCTTCTTTTTAAGTCCTCGGTACATTCGGCGCGCATTCGGAAGGTCCGGGTTCAAGTCCCGGCGAGGGCGTTGCTCATTTTCCATGTTTCCTGCTTCATAATAATCTAATGGCTGTATACAGTCTCGCTTTCACTTGCAAAAGAACGCCTGAAAATGCGTCTTCCTTTCTTTTTTTAAAGTTATCTTACACTGCGCTGACTCCTTGCGTTTTGCGTGTCCTGAGATATTTTCTCACGTCATGATGCTGATATTTGCATATACATCACCTTTCTACAAAGTTCGTTTTTCACAGCACTAATTTCAAAATGCCCTTTTCAAGTACTGCATGTTTGTATATTGAAAAATGAATTTGTTGCTTAAGTTCTGCACATAGTGTATATACTATCCTACGTATATAAGATAAAACCTTAACTATTCTGCCACGAATACAAGTTTCTTCAACACTGTGCTTCAAGATCACGACTTAACATTTTTCAAACCATCATATATTTTTGTCATTTACTTTATTTATTGGATTTTGCCAACGACTTTAAAAAACAGTTTTGTAAGCAAAATTTCGATTAACTCAGTTTCTTACGCTAATTCATTATGCAACTTTCAGTTCTTCCCAATTTACCGAAGATTTCTAAATTACATTATCGCTACAATATTTTTAATACATCTATATACTCTGTAAGCAAAATTCTGCTAAATCTAATTTCTTATGCTAATTCATCATGCAAACTCTTGTGTTTACTGAACGATTTCTAAATTACATCATGATTGAAATATCGTTAGTGCATCTAAATTTAATTACATAAAACCGTTTTAGTTTGATATTTAATTATAATTTTTTCTCACATTCCAAAACATTAGAAGGAGCAAAATGCTGCAAAATTTTACATCATGTCAGACTTACCAAATACCACATTTGAGGCCATCTAGGGTCATTTAGGGCGATCTTGATTCCTTTCTCGGATTCAGGATCTTCTTTAAAATCTCGTTTTATTCGTCGTTTCAACACTTGTTGAGAAAACCAAGTTACCTGGGAAAGAAATAATTTTATATAAAGTATATACACGTAAATTAAAACTTCGTGTTTAAGAATTTTAGACGTATGAAAAGTTTTTAACAATAATATATTAATACATACAGAATACAAGCATTGAAAAAAGAAATCAAAATCATTAAAACACTAATGCCCTTCCCTTCAATTGGTATTCCAAACTGCTGATCACGGAAGCACCTAAGATTTTTGCAAAGCTGTTATAATTCAGCATATCTCAGGAAACGCTTTTTTTGTTTCAAGTTTAAAAATAGCGAATGTTTTCCAAAATATATTTTTAACATTATACTTCAGGAATTCAAGAGAACCCGCACAAATTCTATAGCATTTCAAGAATAATAATAACAACAACAACAAAATTGTGAAACAGAAACCAGAAGTAAACGGGTTATGCTACCAGAAAACAGAAATGAACTACATACTTCTGGCTAACATAAACCAGAAATTGAGGCTTATGTTGCTCATTTCCTTTCACCCTTCGTTGTTGTTAACTTTCTATAAGTTTTTGTTTCATTCACTAGGTCTGATTAAAAGTTTAGCAAGCATGGATTTTGGAACTACTTCCTCAAAAAAATATATCAAACTCAAATTTTGTATACACACAGTTTGTAGATGAAAATACAATGTGATAAAGAGAGTTCTTTCAAAAGTCGATTTAGATAGTTTTTAATTTAATATTTTAACGCTTTTTCGCTCATTTTTTTTATAACGAACAAAACAAAATCGCCGTAATTTAAATATTTGCACTATCGGACAGACAGAGGGGGAAAAATTTTTAAATACAATTTTTAGCTACATATCTGAATTTCGGGAGAATTTTTGCAAATAGCTCAATTTATTCCGGCTATTTGACGTCTATTATTTAAAAATTTCAACATCTGAAATCATATCGGAAGCAAAGTTTTGAAGCTTTCACAGATTATAAAATAAATTCTTCATCCGCTTTAAAACAAGGATGACAAAAAATATTAATGGAGCGATTTTTACATTAAAAATATATTCTACAGTATGGAACAGAAGGGGGGACAAACGGTTTTTCGTGTTCCAGGTTGTGTATCATTACCCCTATTCTGATAAGCTATGGAGCTCAAATTTTGCACACTCACTCATTATTGAGGATGAGAATACATATTCACTTGAGATGAGATACTGCCGATGAGAATACGTATTATACTTGTGATGAATCACAAGTTTTCGTTTAGCGAACAAAATAAAACCATCGTATCACTGTTTGCATCATCAGATAAAGCTGAAAACAAACTTAGACGTTTATATGAAATATGATTTTTTTCAGTAAAACTTCTTTTATAATATATACCATTTGAAGTAACACATTCCTAGATATAAGAATTGTTTATTTATTTAATCATTAGAAAAATTATTTTTCAGTTTAAAATTTTGATTAAAAACGTTTCACTGAAAATAATAGCAAAAAACTAATTAACTGAAAGTAAAATAATTTATCATATAGTTTAATGGGAAAAAGATATTAAGTAAAACTTTTTACAAAATTTATTTACAATTTTATATCACAAGTAAGGAAAACGTAGGCGTCTAAGATAATTGAAATCTATTAACGAATTGCATTGTCAAAAGTATAAGATATCATCTTCATAAATTTATCATGCTTTTACTACTGGTGATATAAAATTGTAGATGAATTTTTTAAAGAAACTTATTTAATCTCTTCTTCCCATTCAACTGTATGATAAACTGCTTTTCTAATTTCAGTGCATTATTTTAGGAATTTTAAATAAAAGCTTATGTCATAAAAACCTTTTAAAAATTTATTTATTAATATCAAAAAAGAATAACTCATTTCTGAATAAGCAATATATCCCTTTCCGCAAAAGATTTATTCATCTGAACAAAAGCTCGAAGGCGAGAAACAATTATATTGTTACGAATTTTGTATATAGATAGATAATTTAGGTGACATTATATGCGGAATTGCTGTACTTCTTTTGTAAAATGTAACATAAAAATCTAAAGAAGCGAAGCTTGTGGGAAGGGTAAAAATACGGGAGCAAGTCTATTTAACACTGAGCAAATGGCTATCTTGTTAATTTGGCAAAATATCGCCAAGCTGGCAAAAAAATGTGGCGAAAAATCGTCCAAAGTCGCCAATTGGTGCCTAATTGGGAACATTTTGGTCCGGTCCCTGTATTACTGTAATAGGCATAATAACCGAATAACTGTAATTGGTGTTCTGTGTCGCTGTAATTGTATTCGGCCTCATATGCCTTCCAGTAATTTAGAGAAACAGAAAGTACTAAAAATATCTCGACAACCGGATGAAACTTATGTAACACCGGAGAGAGCATCTGACCTGAATTGTTGCTGTGAGTTACAAGTAGTTCAGAGCGACTTCGGAGTATTGAGCTTCGTCTATTGGATGCGTTTTGTAATGTGTTTAACGTTTTTAGTAACTTGAACAGTAACTACTGATTGTACCCTGTGATACTGTAAACACCTGTACGAGGACTTCTGTAGAAAGTTTTAGAATTCAGAAATGTTACTTTTGATAAAATAAATTTTATTAACCTTTCATAGGACCTGTGTGTAATCAGTCTATTACGAACACGTACACTGTAAAAAAAAACCTCGAAGTTTACAGACAAAAGTCTTGTATAGTTACAGAAATGCGAACAATTACGAAGGAAATACCTGTAACGAACACAGAACCAAACGAAACTGTAAACTCTACAGGAGTTTTTCAAGAAGTTTTGCTTGGATTTTGTCCGTAGCGTGTGATCACGTGGCTTAAAACGGCTGAGAGAGAAGAACCAATCAGGAAGAAGGTGGAAAAACAGCGTCTTAGCGGGAGAGTTCAACGATAGTCGCCATGTTAGCCATTATTTTTGCTATGGTCGAGGTAAGTTCGAGGTAAGTTCGAAATAGTGTTTGACGTGTATTTTACTAATTTTATGTAATGTATTTGTTATGTTCTTTACACTATCTATAATTAAATTCTTTAATGTTTAGCTTATAATTCTAATCCTCCTCCTAAATAAACCTGTGTTGAATTATTATTAGAGTTTCAAATCACAGAGCTTGTGTTCCATTTAGTAAAATAACAGCACTTTTATTCGTTACATCTGCAGGTGTTTGCAGTTAAACTTGCTCATATTTCGAAATAGAAACAAATTTATGTAATAATATGTTAGTTTAAAAACAAATAAGCTTTAATATTAATGTTCTATCTATAGTCCTAATAATTTCTCATGTTAAATATTTATGTATCTTTTAAAACATATCGCGTTAGAATATTCATATTTTTCATTTTGTTTGACAGATGTAACATTATTATTCCATACATGTTATCATTAATCCCAGCGTGAACTGCTTTAGAATATTTTTTTCAGAGCATTATTACACTATGTATATGTTATTATTAATCTCAACGAAAAAGAAAAAAATAAATGTAATATATTTTAAAAAATTCGACAAAATAACTTAACATACAATTAAAAATGGAATATCATTTCACTTAATACATGCGATAAGTTTCGCCTTAAAAGATTATATAGTCGGATAGCAAATTACATATTTGTAAAAGTATTCAATGTATATTATTTTTTGTGTAAGATAGTTTGAAGTTTTACATTGTTTTAATCCAGGACAGTCTTTTACCAACTTATAAAGCATCTATTAAGTTACATTATAAACCAACATTTACAAAAGGCAATCGAAATGCCGTGACTTTGACATATTTTTAACTATGATGTAACATACTAGGAACATTAAAGAAAAAAAATTCTATTTTTTTTTCCTTTATGCTACATCAGTTGCTGAAAAGTAAAATATTAATAAAATGGTACAACATTCATTCTAGTACTTACAATGTAAATTTACATATAAATTTACTATAAATTTTGGTTGTAAATTTTGTGCAAATTTCATTATAAAAATGCATTTGCTAATATTTAATAGTTATAGCATTCAATATCAAAATCATGGAAATATTAAGTTAATGATACGTCAGTTAGGAGCATATATTAATTTCAATACTCTCAGCTCAATGCCAAATTTCTTCTATATCTGAGATAACATGTATTTTTTGAAGAATAATTATTTTGTGTCATCTTTTTCATTTAAAAATCTCTTTCAGATATATTTTAATGTGAATTATTTTCAAAACATTATCCTCATTAGAATGAATGTTGTTCTCTTTATTATGTTTGAAACTGCCGTTACGCTTAAAAATTATATTCAGAAAACTATTTATTGCTGAATGTTTAAAATAAGTTCTACTGCTCCTTTTGACAAAGAGTAATCCAATTTGAATTGCAGTTGGTTTTAATTAATCGTTGGTTGCATTTTTAAGAACTACTTGATAAAAGACACAATAATTAAGACACAATAAGTTTTTTGTTGTTTGCCTTCTGAATTAGTACTTGATAAAATCAAAAATTAGTTCAATCTATGAGTTTCATCTGAAAAATCTGTTCTAAAATTTTTATTCCAATTCTGTCATGTGTATATAGTTTTCAAGAATGAAAAAGAAATTACAAATTCACTATCCAACAATACTGAGTAATTATGTTAATTTTGATATAGCCAAACTTAAAATTCACCCATTTTATAAAACCAGTATTAAGGGATAAATCAATCGCGTATTTTTTCGGTCATCGAATTTCTTTGGCGTTAAAAGTGTCATAGATTTAGTAAATCCAAGGGTCAAGGTAAGCTCAAATATTTTTTTTCATAGTTCATATTTGCTAAGTTATAAATTTTGCTGATGCAAAAGTTATGTAACTTATGCAAACATATGCTTAGAGTATTTGAACTAGTGTTGAAAAATCACTGGAATTTAAAATGTAATTGACAGTATGCCTTAAAGCTTGTTTTGGTAAAAGCATATTTATGGGTGCCCCTTGGCAAAATTTGGCGATTTTTGGCAGTACATGGATACCGAGTTTGTGCAATTATTTGACCATGTTATTTTGGCTTGTGTAGCGACGATTTGTGTGCCAAAA